TCATTTCTAAATTCAATAAATATTTGAAAAACGATTTCACTTTCCCAAAATCTCCCGCTCAATTTCACTCGGAAACGTTAGAAATGTGTTCGAGGGAGCGCCAACCAACCGATACCAACGCGGATTCTGTCTCAAGGGATGAGTCACTGAGGCTTGCAGTGGCCGTTTCTGTTCTCCGATCAAGGATTTTCCAGAGGCGGTCTTCCTTTCCCAACGCTCCTTTCGAATCTGAAGCCCTCCGCTGGAAGCGAAAGGTTCGCTTTGCGATTTCCTTGACTCTCTCTATCTGTTTGATTGTAAGGAATCTCCTATTTCATTTTCTGTTTTAGTGGTTCTTTAGGCAAAGGAGCGAAAACAAGAAATTATCCGGCTAAGAGAATGTCTCAAGGAAGCTGAAGGTTCTCAAGTTTCTCTCTCTCTGTCTCTAGAATTTTCTTGCTACGGTTTTTGCCGACTTTAATGAGGTGTAGGAGGTATAATTGTGCTTGTTCTTACTGCTTTAGATGCTACGCATTGCGATTTGTTCCCGCAAACTGCGTCTTGCAAGTGCTATTTCTTCGATAATTTGGGGAAGTTCAGTCCCAAACCAGCTGATGATGCCTCTAACCAGGGATTCAATGACATTCTTCGCCGCAGATTTCTTAGACAAGGTTTCTTCCTTCTTCAATCTCATCATCCTAGTTATGTTCTTCTTCTTCTTCTTCTTCTGGATACAATAGAATTTGATTGTTTATAAATTTTCAGTGCGATTAAAGGAAAGGACGAGAGCAGCTGGCTTAACTCAGAAAAGATTATTTTCAGGTAATAGAAAAGATTTCTCAATTTTATTTGCAAGGACGTATCTCAACTTTGCAACTAGTTTGGCGATCTAGCTAATGTTTCGCTACTGCATTTTTTAATGTTGACTCTTGTATCGGTTTTACTTTATCACTATTCTTTTTACTTAAAGAAAATGCTTGCGGGCTATCAAAAGGAAACTAAGGGATTTATGAACTATGTTAGACGCTAGCACACTGTTGGCTCTTTGTTTCAAATGGAAAAACACAGACAGATAATATATTTCATTCATTCGAAATAAAGTTTTTAATTTTTCTTTTTGATATAATTCTTAATTTGAACTCTGCTTCTAAATGCAGATTTAATCAATGAAGAGGAGGCAGAGCAGCTTAGGGCCTCTGTTGATTTTCTTGTTGAGCTTTGTGACACCAGTTCTCCTGTGAGATTGTGTTGCTGATCTTTATGATTTACTTTCATCATTTGTTGGTTGTTTATAAAGTTCTTTTCTAAATTTGTAACTTCGAACTTTGAAGGGGGAGTCTAATTTCACCAGCTGGTCCCACCAAGCTGTAGACTTCATTTTAGGTATATTGACTGATCTATAACTACATAATGCTCTCAAGGTGTATTCAGAACAACAGAATTAACATCATTCTTTCTCAATTGGTTATTGCTAACCGTGTCTGGGGAATTATAGATGGAATTAGGTAACTTGAGATTGCATAAACTAATCAAAATCTATTGATGGTCTTCAATCTTGATGTGTTTTTTGCATTACTATGACTGAAGCTTTTAGCGGTCATCTGATCACTCATCTCTAACTTATACCTTTGGTCCAGTGTGGTTTCAACTTTTTCATTCAGTTGCAAGTGATATAGATGCTTTTGGCAGCATCAAGCAAATGATATAGTCAAGTTAAATATCAAATTATCATAGGCAAAACTTTTCTTGAGATTCTTAATAATGTAGGTGGATAATGCAAGGGAAAAATTTGGATATATGAATGATATAGGTAATCCTATTGCTCAACTTCTTGTTTAATTTCAACTTATCAGCTTCCAGGAATTACAAGGGTTTTTTCAAATGTTTTCCATATATATTTTAAATTATTAGGGATGGGAGTTTGGTCCATGATGAAATGATTTGTTGAATTTTTGTTTCTTTTTAACAAGGGAACTGAAACTCTTTTGTTTCAACAATTTTGAGGTATTTGCTGGTTTTTTCTGCTTTTATATTCATATGGTGAAAAACAAACCTACGAATACAACTAGAGTATATGCCAGAGTCTCAGAAAGCTATCTTCTCTTGTACCAGCTTAGATAGCCTAGCTTGACTTCATGTGCAACAACGTGAACGGCTACACTAGCTCTCTATATCCATGATGCTGCAATGTAAACCACAATTATGACTTACTAATACTTTGCGCTCTATCTTTGTGCATGCTAAATAACTCTTTCTTGATTTATTGAAGCTTCATTGAAGCATTTGTTATCAGCGGGGAAGAATCTGGAATCTATTGAAGGAACTATCAGCAGCTTAATTGTGAGATTAGTTAGAAGGATGTGTTCTCTAAAAGGAGACGGTAAACAGTCACTTCTACTGGAATCTAATTTATAATTCTGTAAAAATGTCTTAAATATTAATGATTATGCCATTTTTTATATTCAGCATAGTCTCACATTCTAAGAGTATTGCTAGTTTTATTTTCTTTCATTTTTTCAATAATTTTGCAATGAAAGCCTGTGCTTTATGTCTTTTACTTTCTCCATTGATTTACTGTTCCAGAATCACATTCATCTGACATCCATTCCCAGTTTTATGTTCAACATTTGATCCGTAAACTTGGAAGTGAATCCTACATTGGACAGCGTGCAATATTTTCAATTTTGCAAAGGATATCTGTGGTAGCAGAAAGCATGCTTTTCTTGGATCCATTTAATGAATCTTTTCCAAACATGCATGAGAGTATGTTCTTAATGTAAGTACCACTCAGAACATACTCCTATCATGGTAATCTCTTAATTATGGTCTTTGTT